CCCTCCTATATTTTCTTCAATTAATGTTTACTGGACTGATGGTGTTTTTCTTTTCTCTTTTCTCTTCTAGCATCACGCAGAGGCATTGTGGCAGTTTTGTAGAGATGGAAAATAACTGTCATGGTTCTTTGCGTACGCAAGATGCAATCATGAAATCATGGTATGGTTGCTCAAGATGAAAGCGCTACCTTCTTCGCCCAAATAGAACGTCCGGTAATTACTGCCGCATCTGGACTGGAAGTTGCACCAAATGCAGTTATAATGACCGGGCGTTCTATTCGGGTGAAGATGGAATGGGCATGAGCTAATTTGCGAAATCTTAGTGGAGTCCGTGAAGGCAGCGGTGGACGAAGAAACGAGTAGAAAGAAAGAAATGAATTAAATTGAATTTCAAAGAAAAATGAATTAAAGAAATGAGATGGCTTGCCAGCAAACAGAGCATCATTTACCTGGCTGTTCATTTACCTGGCGCTCATTTGCGCGATGGTGCATCCAAGAGCAAGGAGGAGCAGTGCTGACCATTGAATGTTGGTTAACCTGCATGTAGACAACCATTCGTTGCCCATTGAAGCAAGTGAAAAAGGGGAATGGGAACATTAGCTACATTACACATTACATTACTCGTAAGAGTCGTAAGTTTGTCGAAACATACATGGATTTCACTTTGCATCCTAACTTCCTTTGTTCCATAAGCTCCATGATGAGTCTCCATCCTCTTTGCCCCATTGCCAAAGACAATTACGATATCCTCACTCTCTCTCTCTCCCAACTCAAACACCCACACTTCTCTTCTTCTTTTTCTTCTTCTTCTTCTTCTTCTTCTTCTTCTTCTTCTTCTTCTTCTTCTTCTTCTTCTTCTTCTTCTTTTTTCTTCTTCTTCTTCTTCTTCTTCTTCTTCGTCTTCGTCTTCGTCTTCACCCTCCTCCTCCTCTCTCTCTCTCTCTCGCCCTCCCTCCCTCCTTCTTCTTCTTCGTCTTCTTCTTTTCTTCTTCTTCTTCTTCTTCTTCTTCTTCTTCTTCTTCTTCT